ACCCAACAGAGAAAGGACCAGAGCATCACCATGGCCACATCCAAGAAGCTCCTTTCTCTCTCTTCACTGTTACTGATCATTGGAAGCACCTTTGTGCTTAGTGTGAAAGCATACCAGTGTCCCACGGCACCTCCTAACCCAGGTGAAGGAGAAATTAAAAGATTGCAGGCATGTTGGGGTAGTCTTAGTTATGAGGTTATAAGGGATATGACCCTACAGTTTAATGGTGGAAAAGAGCCTAGTGATGATGTTTGTAGGGCAATTCTGAAACTCCCAGGCTACTGCTGGCCGGCTATGTACTTGCCCTCTGGGGAAATCTGTCAGAAGCTCCTCAAGTTCAGAGCATCTTGCTATGGGCGCAAGCTTTAGAGGGAGAAAATGAGGGTCTTAGAGAGAGAGAATAAGGTTGGAGAGAGAGAGCAGGCAATTGTACGTTGGTCCTGGTTTTTTAGGGGTATTGGGGTTCTTACATGGAGTAGTTAAATTATGTCAAGAGTGCTGCTGAAAGAGTATATATTTCAATAATATAGTAATAAAAAAGGAGATTTGCTAAAAAAAAAACAATGATTTATTGAATTCCATTTGAAACTCAAAATTAAGAGTGATTTCATATCACCGTCTCATTGCCATAAAACAAAAGTGTATTCAAAATACCTTTAGAACCTTTATCTGGTATTTTAGTCAATTTATCTAGGGAAAGTATATTATGGGACTATTTATCTTTGGTATAAGGTGGTCACAATTCATCTTGACCATTAGAAGTGAAATTGGGTGGCTGCATTTATTTCATTGACCAAGCTCAAAATTGAAAATAAATTTTCTCAAACTTTGTAACACACCCTAGCAATTATATTTCACATCCAATGGTTGTAAATAATTGTGACCACCCTGTATCTAAAGTAAACGATCTCATTGTATACAATCCCATTTATCTATGGGTGCGGTTTGTATAGAGCTGAGGCTCAAAACAGTCAAAGTAAAGTGCACCTTCAAATAGTGTCAAGAAATGTGGTTTTAATTCTGGAAATCTTTATGATATCCTTAAAATATATTTTCATATTTAATTATACAATATTTAAAGCTTCAAAAATAGTATAAATCGAGCAGAACTATGAAAACATGAAAAACTTGAAAATTGGCGATCAAAAAATGCGTTATAAGATGCACTACTGCCAAAACTTGAAAATCCATTTTTTTCTCATGTCCATGCATCTTGATATCGAGATGATCCATTTGATGATATTTGGTCATCAAAGCAACTTCTTATGGTGAAATTTTTTAGGTGGGCTCTAATTTGATTGTTTAGAACTTCGGCTCTATATAAACTTTTTCCTTTATCTATTGTAACTTAAGTTTTTATAATTTTGTAGGTGCACCTAAGCATATAAGTACCTTCAAATTTTTCATACCAATTTACTATATATAAAAATTTTAAAATTAAAATACTAAATCAAATCATAATTATTTGTATTAATCTGAACTATTAAAAAGTGTTTGTCTTCCTTAATATAGGCCGTACTTTGCGTAAAGTAATTGCTGATGGCGTTAGGGAGCTGAGAAGCGAGGAAGTAAATAAGATAGAAGCATGTCTCCTTTGATGTCGAAAGAGGAGCGGTTTTTGGTAGGTCCCCTTTGGCATGGAGAAAAAATAATCATACAATTTCATATTTCATAGGAGTATACATTTGCATAGAGTACCATCATACATTTATGTATAGTACTAGTGCACACCCAATGGGCTGACAATTGCCTTGTTTAGAGCCCTTACTCCCCTATTGGTCATGAACATAAGAACAAAAATTTTGGGGTACATTTCTAAAAAATTAATGAGGTTATTGAGGTGGTTAAAACAATAATTTTAACAATAAATGGGCTTTTTTTTAGAAATCTTTTTATTTAGGTACCTTTTCAAGAAATTTATTTAAAAAAACCAAAATTACTATTATTTTATAATTGGAATCTTGAACAAGTTATGGTATTTTGACAATTAGACTTATTAAAATTACGAGTCAAGTGGCCTAAACACCGATTCTTTCTAAGTTCTAAACTACGAACATGTTTCTTTCATTAAAACAATCTTACTCCAAGATCATAACTTAGTACAAGTGAGGGCATATGGTAATTTGGCCCCACTTAAGTTACCCGAGCCAAAAATAAAAAAACCCCTACTTATTTAGAGTTTTTTAAAGATGATTTTTCAAATAAAGTTTATTAAAATACACTTGGGAGATACATTATTTAGCATTTTCCACTTTTGAAATTATTCCAACTCGTGATTATATGCCTTTTTATGGGTATTTTGAAATTAAATAAAAGATCATGGGTACTTTGAAATTAAATAAAATCACATGAGTTCTTTTAATAATTTTCCCTTCTATATGAAAAACATATATTTTTGTTTGGTATCATAATAAGTAGAAATATTTAAATCATTTAGCTCAAGTAAATTAAATGACTAAATTGCCAAATACCATCTTCAAGGTTCCAAACTTGGAGCAAGGGCAATTTGGGGCACTTAACCAAATAGCTGAGGCGAGTACGTAAGTGAATTGACTTTCAAATGTAAGGCTTTGTTGGAGAATTAGTTCGACTTAGCTACCTGATGGGCTTGTTGAGGTGGCTTGTATAAGGCCAAGGCTCTAACAATAAACGTAAGATGCACCTTCAAATCGTATCGAAAGATGTTGTTTTAATATTTGAAATATTTGTGATGGCCTAAAATTTTATTTTTATTTTTAATTATAAAATTTAAAATAATATTATCAATTTCGTTTTGGAGTCTTTTTCGATTTGGTGAGAAAAATAAAGCAATTCACTGCTTTGGTAGATTCGGAGGAAGACTTTGGATTTTTTAAAAAAAAATAATATAAATAAATTAGATATTTATATATATAATACATAACATAATTAAAAAATTTAAAATTAAAAACTACTTTTATATAAGTATTTCTTTTCTGAACGAAGCAGCTCGAAGCTTCAACCGAAGCAGACCCGAAGCAGCCCAAAGCGGCCCAAATCTGACCGAAGTGGCAGCACCACACTTCTCTTCGCTTCGGTTTATGCTTAAACTCTGAAGGCTTCAGCCTCTTCGGCCGAAACGAAGCGAATTTAATAACATTGATTTAGAATTTCAAAAGTAATGTAGATTGAGCATAACTATGAACACTTGAAAATCTTGAAAATTGATAATCTGAAAAAGTATCACAAGATACACTATTTATAAGACTTGAAATCTATTTTTGTCATGTCCATACATATTGAGGTTGAGGTGATCAATATGAGAGATGAAAAAGGGTGCTGTGCAATTTTTTAGAACATGTAAGTGCCACAAATGTGATTTTCTGTTTTAAAATAAAACATTATAAATAATCTCAACTGTCCACTTTCTTTTCTTTTAATCTGGAATGTTGGGAAGATGCTTGTGCACTCTTGATGCATCCACATCATGTGGACCTAATATTTAAAGTATAGGGACCTTCTAATTTTTAAAGGAAAATAGTTTCATGCGGGCTAGACCTCATTTTTACATATGTTTATAGAGAGGCTAATGAGGTTGCTGATGCTTTGGCAAAAAGGGGCGTTGGGCTTATTTCTCTCTCTATATCTTCTTATGTAATTTCTTTCTAGTTTATCAATAAATTTTGAACATTGGTAAAAAAAAAGATGGATGCAATTAAGATGGATGCAAATTGGTGGTCCATCTAAAAACAATTGAAACTAACATTTCACAAGTTTTTTTAATAGAATTATTATTTCTAAATTTCAAAAAAAAAATTCATATTCATGATCTCCATGTTAGAGATTATATGTCCTTAAAAGTTAAGTCTAAAAAACTATTTCAAAAATAGATTTTTAAGAGGCGCCTCATTTCTACATGGACCCATAGAAACTGGATCTATATTTTAATAACTTGATCGGACCCAGAATCGATCCACCTGTAACTAGATCAGATCTGAATTACTATTCAGATCCAAATTTTAGGTCTGACCGGTCGAATCCAAGTCCTAAATCCATATCCAGATTCAAATAGGGTCGAAAGTTCGAGTTTCAAATCCAAACCGCTAAATTCTCTGCCCGGTGAGGATACATTAGGCAAACGTAGTTACGGATTTACGATTAGTGCATACACTTGTGGGATAATTCCCATAGATTTTTCCAATATTGCATGGGTAACTTCGTCATTTCTTACTGTAAAGGTTATTTAGTCATCGACGACATAACAAACGGGATCCTACACTAATATGATATACCTGTAGGCAATTTAAATCCGACCGTTGCTGCATTGCAACGGTCCAAATTTCGAAATTTAAAAGTCGGGCCGCGTAGGCAAACCACCTGACCGTTGGTTTGGAGGGGTCCATCCTCTAATCAATACTCTCTCAATTGGCTGTTCTCTCGTGACCCCTGTTCCAATCTCTCCCCTGCTTTTCATCCACAGTAATTCACTCACCCCTTTTACAAATTCGAGAGCGCCCCTCCTCCATTAACTCACCAATCCCTCACTGTGTTCTACTTAAACCCCTCTCTCTCTCTCTCTCTCTCTCTCTCTCTCTCTCTCTCTCTCTCTCTCTCTAC